ATCTTTTCTTCTGCTTCTTTACCTATGCCACATACTATTCTTAGTTCTCTCAGAGCTTTTCGAATGTCCCTGCTCCCCAATTTACTTTGCCGAGCCTATTTCATAAATGTAGATATTTTATCCTTTGATTTAGTTTAAGTTTTATGATCTGTATTAGTTAGGTAGCTTTTGGTTGCAAGAAACTAAAAATCCAACATAAATTCACTGAAAAAAAGGGTGGAGTAAATGTATTGACTTATATATATGGCTAGTTCAGTAGGTTTAGCTTCAGACAAGGCTCTATTTATAACTGAAATCATTTGACAAGATTCTCTCTCTCTGAGTCTCTCTCTCTCTTCCCCATCCCTCCTTAGCTCCTTCCCCTCTGCCCCCACCATTATTCACCTATAGACAGAAATACATTAAAGCTATACTTTCAATGTCCTAAGAAAGCTATCAAAAGATCCCAAGTCTACATGGTTTCTTGTTCAGCTCTAGTATTAAAGTGAGTCATTCCTCAAAGTCCAGAAATTGAGTCTAGGCCTTGGTTGGCAAGACTCAGATCATTCTTCAATCAACCATTATAATATGGTTGATGTGATATGTTAATCAACTTGAGCTAATTGGGATATATTTCTAGAGCTTGGGTTGTGGTTAAAACTACTCATTCTATATTGCTGGAAAATATTGGCAACCGTTCAAAAAGGAAGAGAGGCAAACAGATGCTAAGAAAGCAAATACGATAGGCAAATTCTGCTACACTATTGTCTGGACTTTAGAGAATTCTGATTCAGTGTATATACAGGATTAAATAGGTAAGATAAATAATTAGTTGATTTGCACATATATTTAATGTATTTCTGTCTAAACTTCTGAGTGAAGATTTTCCTATGCTAAAGCTCAGAACTATATTTAAAAAATTCAACAGTATGATAAATTATACTATGCTTTAAATTGTTTTTCTTTAATCCATAAAAATATAAGCATTGCTCTATTGCTTAAAAAAAAGCATCTCATTCTGTATCATTTTCATGTCCCGTCCTGATGTATATCATAGTGAGCAACTACTGTATTTATGTGTTTATGAGAAAACTTAAAAGTTAATTATCTTGACTCTATTATGAGTATTATTGTGCAAAATGTTGGGGTAAAGGGTCATTATCTTACATTTAAGATTAGTTTAACAACTCACTCAGACTGTTCAATCAGTATTAGAGAAATCTAAATGTAATATTTTATATTTTAAAAAATTATGAAAGAAAGGCCCATTATAACATATCTTCTCAATTTAAATATATCCGCCTGAATTTTTTTTAAAACAATGATAATTACTGTACCTATGAGAAAAATTGCATATGGCATAACTCTTTGGAAAGCAGGCCTATCTTGTTACTTCTTTAACACTAGAGTTATAAACAGGTTTCAGTATATATCTCAATATTTCTTCTAAGCCCCATACATGTTGCTAAATTATTATAGAGATACCACTGGAGAATGTTATTTTGCTTGGCTATGCCATTATTATGCAGACATTCAACATATTATGGAGGATATTGGTATAGTTATTTGATAAGGAAGACACTTGTTAACATTTTACAATATGCTTTTACAGTATGCAAAAGTACTCAGATATACATCATAACTTGATCCTCATAGCAACCTGAGATACTAGAGGGTTAGATTCTTTTCCGTAGATGCAGATACAGAGGCTCTCAGCGGGGAGGTGGTATATGAGCATTCATGGAGCTAGCATGGGGACTGTCAGCTCACTGAGGAGAGGACAGTGGCTGGAACACATTAGGGGCTCTGAATATTTATTTATTTAATTAATTAAATAAATATGGGTTCAAATCTAGTGTTTCAGAAGTCCAATGCTTTCCTTACAATTGAACTATTATTACAATGTTGTTTACATATTTTAACAAATAGAGCTCATGATCAATCTGTGAGCTCAGAATAAAAGGAAAAACAAAATAAAAACTTCTCAAGGTCTTCTTCATTCTGCTTTAAAGACATAGGTTTGTCATTGTTATCTATATTTCCCACTTTACTAAATCAATAATCAGTTTAGAAGGCTTTCACTCTATAGGCTTGGAAAAGAGAGTATATCACAACTAGAGGACAATTCTGAACATATTCAGATTATTTTTTAGGCTTCTTCAAAACATTTTTTCAAAGCTTTTATCGTCAAAAGAAAAATAGATGAGATAAAACAAGGGTAGTTAAGCCCCCAGGTCTAGACACAAAAACAGAGCCCCTCAAGTTGAATTTCACAGCAACTAAATACAAATTTAACAATATGTAAAGAAAGTCTCCTCTTTAGAACTCCAAAGCTGAGGCTAGAGGCAGAAATAAGAGACAGCCCATGGCTCTCACCTCACCATAGGTAGCTTAACTGCTTCAGTTTCATCCTATGTGGTCCAACAAGGCCTGACAAACTACACTGCAGTATAAGAAGCATCTCTTGGGCAATGATGCGTAAAGACAGAGGGATTTTTTTAGTCAATTGCAGGAATTAGGCTTTAATGCGTTCTACTAAAAGACTTCATACCCCAGATAGCTGACTGCTATCCACTGAATCTTGGCAGGCAACAAGACTGCTGAAGCTGAAACCAGGAAGCTGTGTTAAGCAGATTTTCATCAAAGTACAAAACGCTTTACTTGTAAAGCTGCTTTTCTTTGTTGCAGTTGAAAATGTGTTTCCTCTTTTTTTTCAATCTCTCAGTTTGGTCAACTCTCACTCTTATCAAAATTGCTTTCCAAAAATGTCCCTTAAAGAGCCAGAGAAGAGAAATAAATGTTTACCTCATCAAAGATAAATGTTTTTTTTTTCCCTAAAAGAACAATCCTAAACATGTTAATTTAAGAAATTAAAAATGATCATGGTTCTTACAAAAACTATAAGATACAAAGAAAGACATTAAATACTTTACCATTATTTGGAAGTTCCAGAGGGCTACAGACCCCTTTTCTGGTTCTGTCTTTCTGTGGAGAGATCAGTTTTGCAACCAGCGACGCTGAGATCGGCTGCACTAGTAGAGAGGTGAGGTTTGGTCGGTTTTGTCTAAAACTTCCATCTGTATTCAAAAGAGAAAGGAACAGAATCCTTAGTCAAGAGAAATTAAAAACACTTGAAAAAATTTTTAAAATAAGTATTTAAATCAAGAGACAAGTTTATTTTAGTTCATTTGTTTGTTTATTCCTTAGTTATACTCTGTTTACTTGTTAAAAATTATTTGAGGTACTTCGTAATAAAAATTCAGTCCAAATACTATTATGTATCCTACCTAATGATAGCAGATTGTACACACGCACTTACCTTCATTCTCACTGAAGCGAGAACAAAGGAATAAAAAAGCATAAATCCAGAGAGGCCAAGAGAATGAAAGAGATAATAGCCATAAGATTCTAGAAGCTGGAAAGATGATGAAGAGGCGTCAACTGATATAACAGACCAAGGAAACCAAAACCTAAGCCAGCAGAGGGGTGATGCTGAAAAGTAAAACAGTTTGTACCACAGAACCCAGAAAGGCCTTGGAATTGAAAGTACCAGCTACCAATTAAAGTAGGGGTAAAGGAGGAGCCTGAAACAGGAAGATCTGATGAAATTCTGATTATGAAGGAGTCTCTCCTCCTAAGCCCCTCACTCACGCAGTCAGCGTGAACAGTTCCATTTCCTTCCTCTGTCCTTCCCCCAAAAAGCCGAAAGTGGGACAGTGAGCAGGGAGACATCAGACATAGCGAGGGGTGAGTCTCATACTTCAAATGCAATAGTGTTATGATTGCTTCAGCTGCTTTACTCTCTTGGTGCCCAAGATCCTTCCTTCTAGTTACAGCAATAGAAGATTCACTTGTAGTAAATATGAGCAAGTCAATGGAGAATATACAAAAATGCTCAAAAGCTGGATGTCTACCATAAAACTCACCTAAGATATCTTATGTTAAAACCCATCAGTAGATAAATCCTGCCCATATGTAGAACTTCAACTTAATTTTGCCATTCTCAAGTACACACTCTCAGCCAAGGACAAGGCTAAGATGGCACATACCCAGCAGACCTAGTGATAATAGGAGCAGTAGGTCAAGAGGCTCAGGGAGGGAGGTCTCTGGGAAGACAAATATAATGGAAATACCATATACATCCTAATGTATTGAAAGAACATTTACAGTAAGATCAGAGTTAGCATTTGAAAAGATACTAGACAAACAGAAAAATTTTAAAAATCTATAAAATGAGACAACTATTAGCTTCAAAGGGAGCAGAAAGTTTTTCAAGAAAGAAATGTAATTGTCACACGATGTGAATATTTATAGTCATAATAATATAAACAATGACCTTTTAACACACAATTGGCATCATTCTGCAGGAAAAAAGGGAAAAAGTCTCTGTTTAGGGTACATGGAGACTCATAAAAGAAAATTAAATCTTTATTTTCCATAGAGGTAAGTCAATATAATAAAAAAAGTGAAATGTGAATTCAACTCTTAAACATGCTCTTGAGAAGCAGAGAGGTAAATATAAAAAGTAGGTAACAAAAATGATGAAAGCAATTAAGTATTTGCCTTTGGGAGATAGAAGAGAGAGGATCCAAGGAAATATGGGAGAAGGTGACATTTTTATAAATTAAACTTTGTAGGAATATTTGACTATTTATATTCATTTGTGTTTGAGGAAATAAAAATTAAGTTAAAAAAAAAAAAAGGAAAAATAGCTATGATAACACAAGGAAGAGAAAAATACATAAGTACTCCAAGTAAACAGAACGGAGAGAAAAAACTAAACTGTGCTTAAGGAAAGAACTAAAAGATATTTATTCAGTTTATATATTTATCCTGACTCAGACAAGGAAATACACAATGGAATGACTCTATCAGGCAACCAATAATGTTTGTGAACACAGAGCTATATTTTTCAGAACTTTTATTAGGGAAAATAATTGCCAAAGGTTTTCTTAGAATTTAATTTGATAGGACTGCAGGGGGTGCACAACTCAGCCATATTGGTACCTAGGCTCCAACAGGCAGATTATAAATGAGAAAATATGATACAGAGTGTTTCCTTAATTTATCAACTGGAAAACCACAAGGTTAAAAAATTATATTTAGTTTAGGCCTGTGGCAACTATAGAAGCCATGGCTTTGGAAAAAAAAAAAAAAAAACAAACTAATAAAGATTCAAGCTTAGGATCGGTGTTGTTATATAAGAACATTGCTACTCTCATAATTTAGTAACCCCTTTTATGTTGATGTATGGCAGTGCATTTGACCACAGTGTAATTCATTGCTTCCTAACCATTTTCTTATAACAGTACCAAGACTGGCTATATCATTTGACAATATGGGACTTCTCTTTAAAATGTATGAAATTTCCAAGATGGCAATAGCAGGGCATTAAATAAGGTGTGGGTCCTTCTAGGTGGGGGCCCTCGAGACTACACAGGTTGCATGCCCATGAACAAGGTCCTGGTTCACACAGAAGATGCTATAGCCATACAGCTTGCTGAGGCAAACTAAAGGGTATATTTAGACCACAAGGAAATTGTTCTCAGCCCTAAGTAACCAACCCTGAGTATACTGCTCTAGGCTACACCCAGGGTCACAGTGATACACATCTCAAGGCATAATCAATGTGCTACGGCACACCAGCTGGGGAGCCGTGGCATAGCCATCTCATTCTGCTTCTGCCAGCATGTATTTATTCCCTCAGCCATTAACTTTGGAAATTTTAGTGTACATGAGACAATGAAATACAGTAGTCACCCTCACCTGCAGCTTCACTTTTCAAGGTTTCAGTTACCCACAGTCAACTGTGGTCTGAAAATATTAAATGGAAAATTCCGGAAATAAATAATTAATATGTTTCAAATTGTGCACCATTCTGAATAGTGTAATGAACTCTCTTCCCATCCTGCTCATTCGTGCCTGAGGTGACTCATCACTTTGACCATGCTGTATACACTACCTGCCTGTTAGTTACTTAGTAGCCAACTTGGTTATCAGATCAGTTATCAGATCAGCTTTCAGAGAGGAGGGGGAAAGAGACCACATTCACTTAACTTTTCTTACAGTATATTGTTATAATAGTTCTATTATATTATTAGTTATTATTGTTAATCTCTTACTGTGCTCAATTTATAAATTAAACTTTATCATAAGTATGTATGTGTAGGAAAAATCATAGTATACATAGGAATCCATGGTTTCAGACATCCACTGGGGCTCTTGGAACATATTCCGCAAGGATGGGGAGAGGCTCTACTATAGTATTTGAGAAATACAATCTGTTATTTTGAAGTTTTCATGGATGCTAGGTACTGACATATTACCAACACAAAATGAAACTTCTTAAAATGTTGCATGATTTTAGCTCTCTTCAGTACAAAGACTGAACTCTTTAGCTTGCCATTCAAGGTCCTTCACAATATCAGACCCTATATTTCCAATAATATTTTCCATCCTTCCTCTCCATACATCTCATCCTAAAACTTAATCTGTCCCTCTACTTATTCTGTGATTTACATCCTACATGTTTTTGCTTAAGCCATTCCTTCCACTTCACTTGCTCTTCTCATGCATTACACACATCTGAACTATACACTTCTTTTAAAGCCTAACTCACAGGTCACTTTGTAAAAAAAGCTTTCTCTGACACCCTCAGCTCTATGCAGTATACATATACCTTTTTGGCAGAGCTTGTCATTTCTAATTAACATTACCACTCGTTTCCCCCTCTAAACTCTAAATTTCATGAAAACAAGGACCACTTCTTCTACCTCTTTGTATGGTACATAACCAGGAACATAACAGGAGCTCAATAGTTAATGGAAAAATAAAAGACAGAATCAACAACTCCTTGAAAAATAGTTGCAATGTCTCTACTGGTTTTCTGAATGCCTAGAAAATGGAGCGGAGGTAAAACCAAAAAATAAATTATAATTCTATTAATCCCATGCTTGCTATATATTTATGCTTTCTCACCAGCTAATTACTCTTGCACAGCAGACATATTGCATAGGTTTTCAAAACTCATCCATTACCATCAACTCACTGATTAAGCTTGTTCTAAAGTTACCTTTTTTAAGGGAAAAAAATATTTCTATAAATAAAATCATCTTTGAGATATATATTTATCTGTTAATAAAAAATCAGTAACTGCATTCCTTTTTTCTCTGAAATACTCTATTAAGCATATGAAACAATACATTTAAAAGTTAAATATGAGTGAACTCAAAACCATAATTAAACATACCTGAATCTTTGATTTGTTGTTCTGCATGAGTAATACACTTGCATTAGTTTTGATATATCTGAAGTGGTTCATTAATTTTTCACCTTCAGCCTAATGGAAATTTGACAAGCATTTCACTTCTGAGAGCGGATACTAAAAGCAGGACTTTATAGGACACTAAGATTAAATTAGAGACGAATTCTTTAAAAAAAAAAAAAAACTTGTTTATTGAAGAAAGGCTTAGAGAAGAATTCCATTTTCTTATATTATTAAGAGGTTATAGATAAAACCAAACACATGTACAATTTTATTTATATCTTAAAACATATTTATTAACTTTAAGAATCTATTAGATATGAGATTAAAATCAGGAAGATTAGATGCCTTGATGCAAGGGGTGCCATACAGAAAAGATTTTGACATTACATTTTAGCAATCTAACTTTTATACTTATATAAAATTTTATATTATTTATATAATGCCCTGTACATTGCGTAGGCTCAATAAAGACTGATTGATATCAACTTTATTTAGTAGATAGCTAGTTCTCTCTTCACTTTAGGCAATCTTTGTAAATCAAATAAAGATCCAAATTGATCCATCCCATCAATAATCAAATTCCTGATACAATTCTACATGCATACAGTAGAAAGAGGAAATTGGATATTGAGTCCCAAGTTTGACTCTAACACTGACTCACTGTTTGAAATATAACATATAAATAATTTCATTGTGATAATATTTTCATCCATCTACTATACTTGAACAACCAAGGTGACACTGAAAGGTCTTTATTATGTTGATTTACTAAAATAAAGAGTATATTAACTCAAAGGCTTAAAGTCTGAA